TGCATATGTATATGTATATGTATATCTATATGTATATGTATATGTATATGTATATGTATATGTATATGTATATGTATATGTATATGTATATGTATATGTATGTGTATATATATATGTATTGGAAATGTTACTTTAAAATATAACGATATTTGTTATATATATATATACACATATACACATACAGTGCATATCATGCTACGTTACTACGCTATACTAAACTATATTGTACAGTAGTGTACTATACTATACTCTACTCTACCATTTTGCTCCATACTATACTATACTCGACTCTGCTGCATTCTATTCTATTATGGTATGGTATCCTATACTCTGCTCTGTTATTTTCTTTTCTTATGCTACCTGCCATCATGCCTTCGCACGTATACTTGCCCATCCTGATCTCTACGACTGCAGGTAGCACATGCTGTCCTCGACCGGTGGCTGCAGCGCCACATCAACCTGCGTGCACAAGTCACACGAGATAACTGATGAGTGCGCCGTGTACTTGCGTACTTCCTGTCCAGCAGGCAATGACATCAAGATCGCTCAACAGACATAGCACTGCCATGTCAAACAGTAGCATAAATTCTTGTTCAGGTTGGGGTCCAACAAGATAAGTCTGCGACCTTCGTTGTACCGTCCAGCCACCTCTTGCCAGGATGTGAGCCGGCAAGACTGCACACTCAGGCTACACTCCAAGATGTGGCCAGTGCAACGCTCACAAATCGCAGGAAGACACGAAACCTGTAATTCTCCCGAAACCTGCTGCGAGGCGGCGCAGGGGCTTGCACAGCACCGCTGTCGCCCTCACATCACGGCACAGCTCGAGCTCGACAAGACGCTACTCGCCGGAACGACATTCTAGCAAAGAAAGTTGAAGCAGATGATCAAATTCCATTCAAAACCACCCTGCGTTCCGATGCCTGAGCCGTGCTCTCGGCCATGGAGAATCAGCAGGGCGGCCGGATTACCAACTCAGGGCATCCATGCGGCAGATCATGTCTACAAGTATCTGCTTCCCGTCCCTCACAATGAGGCGGACGTGTTCTGCCGGTATTGAAAACCTCCTGCTGGGGAACGGCAACGGTGGCTGCCTTCATGCTACTTGGCAGATTTGACCCTCTCCGCGAGCCATGTTTAAGGGGAGGCAGATGTGCGAGCCATTTGCCAGTAGAACGTCATGCTCGTCCAGCAGGTCAGAAACGGAGGAAAGCCAAATTGCGGCGATGGCATTCTGCGCAACCCGGACCATGCCAAATTTCCGTAGTAAGAAGGAATACGGAGCCAAAGAAATGAAAAGCACTCTAAACAACGAATGCCTGTCTGGATAACATCGACAGCCAAACACACCACACGTCGTGATCCCGTCCTGTTTGCCTGCATCTGCTGAAGCTTTCTGCAGACCGAACAGCGGCTGTGTAGAATCTGGGGCAAACCTGAAGTCCTCAACTCTGCGAGATCAAGACAAGCCTTTACTGTCCCCTAAACCCTAAACCCCGCCAATGCCAAAAATGACTGAAGCATGCCCGGGACTGGCAGGGACCAGAGCATGCGATTTACACCGCACGAACTCCGAAAGGGCCTAAACCCTCGTCCACTATAGGTGCAAAGGAAAAACCAACTAAAATCCAGTGGCACCATGGTAGCATCAGAGCTCTTGGCTTTTCTACTAAGTTTGGCTGGGCAGACGCTTCTGGGCTGCCAAAAACAGACCTGTGAAACTGATTCGTCTGGTTTTGCCAGCAACTACAGTGATGTCCTCTGGCAACAAGCTTGGGGGTTTACAGTACCCTATGCCACTGTGCAGAAGATGAGAACAGTCCGATGCTAGGCTGGAACTGCATCAGACGAGGATCCCGACGCCTGGGATTGCCTGCCGGGCTTCACTCTACGTGATTGCGCCACTCTGCCAGAGAGACGTGATCTTCGTGTCCAAAAGAGTTTGATTCAATGCTGAGCCGACGGCAGGAGAAACACACATGGCCAGCTAATTCATGTACTTCTTCACTTCCGCAAAAAACAACAAGACAACATAAACGACGAGCTGGGCAAGACAAGAGCATCGCCAGAGCTTTCCGGACCGTGTCAAGCCTGCCTTCCGATAGAGGGCAACCTGCATCTCTGTGACCAGCGGAATGCTGAAGGACTGGGAACCAGCAGCCATGCTGTAACCGTGCTCCTGCGATGCTCTTCAGTCTACAACGAACCAGGTGCTTGCGGCTCTCACTATGCAGGCTGAGCCCTACCATGACTTACAGTACTTCTTTCTTCTGCTCCCCTCGCAGACGAAGGACCTGCAATCCATCTTGTGCCTCCGAAACTTTCTGAAGGCTCGGCGTTTCCAAGACACACCCGCGTCCTTGCATGAGCCCAGCTCAAACTGCCCGAAGCTCTGCAGTGGTGACTGAAACTTCCTCCAGATTTGGAAGCACGGGGATTGGGCAAAGGCCGGGCCCTCTCCTGCTGCCGGAGTCCTGTCGATGGATGCCTCGGAGCAGAGGTCGCCAGCTACCTTGAACATGGTCACTGTGTCCTGGCCGCGTTTCACCAAGCTCCGCATGATACCTGGACCTTTTGAGCACGTGACTCAAAGCGACGCGCCTGCGTCAGGGCAGCAAAAACCATGTGCAGGCCATCGAGGACGTCCAGGTCTCCTGCCTGCGTCAAGAGCATCGTGTCAGGGCTGCAAAGCTTTCAAACACTGGTGGGCATGCCGATTCAATTCAAGCCTTGCGGAACAGAGCGAGCTTCTTGCCAGGCAAGCCCGGGAGTTCCCTGCCACCGGTCGCTCTTCCATACTCGCAGAATCACCGAGGTTGGATGGCTCAGGCGGCTGCTGCTCTCCGGCATCCTCTGCGTATCCAGCCGCAACGCAGCTGCCCTCCTCGAGGCCAATCCTGACATCTGCTTCAGTGGAGAAAAGCCCGAGGCAACAGATGGCTTGAAGGAAAAGAGCCGTGCGAGGAAAGACAGACAAAGGGTCGATCCGTCTGAGCCAAGCCACGGAAGCTTCACGGAAGCCTGGGCCTCGGTCGTGGACAAGGGCAGCTGACCTGAGACACAAAGGGCACTTCCGGAGACATGGCCGCCTTTGGGCCCCAGGGCCCCTTTTGCAGGCCAGGCACCACAAACTCCGAAGGCGACCTGCAAAGCGAGATGCTCCGGGCCAAGTTCAAGAGACCGAAGCAACAAGAATACTATGAATACCCAAGAATACCGCCTTGCGCAGGATCACCGTGTTCGCCGGCGGCCGGCTGTAGACGTCCCAGCTGAAGGATGCTGGGTCCATGCCCTCTGTAGCAGCCAAGAGTGAGATCAGTTGCCGGACACCACCACGCGGTGTAGACAAAGCCAAGCCACCTTCGTGAGCGTCGCATTGAGAACTGGAAAATTACGCTCGAGACATCCACGGCCATGTGCTTGAACGAAAGCGGGATCCTCGGCAACAGGTCTAGATGTCGAGACTCGAAGCTTCTTGGCAACCCGCCCGGTCCCTTGCACTGTGCTTTACAGATCAAACTTTACAACTCAAAGTTCCAGAGGATTTCTACTGGACGCTCAAGTCTTGGCACGAGTAAGAACATCTAAGACACCACCGCCCGACACACCCACATGTGCAGATACAGGTATGACTGTGTATCTATGTACCTGTTGCTTATTATTTGCTTGTCTCTCTCGTCTACTTTGTGTCTACATGCGCTCGCTATCCGGTCAAGGCCAGAGTCCAGCAGGCCCGACACGGAGAGGATCATCCGCTTTGCAATGCTCAAGCAAGCCTGCCGAAGCTTTGCCCCAGGCAAGATTCGCAATCTTCCAAGTATACGCGTATCATGCAGCCTTTTGTGACAGCATCATGTGTAAGTCTTATCTGGAATCTAAAGAGGAGATCATATACTAGCACGAAAGCTGTACAACAATGCATACGATAAGCAAACCGGTGTATTAGACATACACATGCATGCTGATCTAGACAGAAAGACGAGGAGGAAGAGAGAGACGGAGAGACAGAGAGAGAGAGAGAGAGAAACGATTTAATGATGAAGATCCTCGTGAATCTGGCCTCCTGGCAGGTTGCAGCGGTCTCTGCGACGTATTTCTCTTCCAGGTCTGCACAAGTTGTGCAGCAGGCCGAGCCTCTCACTGACACGGTAGGGTAGGTCACAGCTAAACCCCGTGGGCATCGGACCCCTCCCCAGCCCCACCTCGCGAGGCTGGCTTTCCGTTGAGTTGATCACCTCGGGATCGGCCCCCATCAGCACCATCCGCTCTGTTTCCTGTTGGCTTGCGGCTTGCAAACAACAGCGCCTGGGCAGGAAGCCTCGAACAAGCCACAGCAAGCCCTGAGCGCTCCGCCGACTTGTTGTGCGATTCCTAGCACGTCAGGCCTCGAGAAGGGACTTGCGAGCGCTTCACTTGCTAGGAAGGGGTGTTGCCATGAACATGCCACATGCAAGGTTTCATGGGTCTACTGCCTTTGCTACGACAGCCTCCCGGGAGACCCCGCTACCAGTATCGACCTCCGAAGCCACCTGGAATGCCTGAACCAAATCTACAACGGGCGACGGCCTGGGTCCCAGCCCAACCTACGGTGCCCGAGTGCCCCGCTTTCGGAAGATACCCAGACCCAGGCTGCCAATCAGAGGAAGGGTGACCTGGCTGAAAAGCGCAACTCGGAACGGTAGATCTCCTAACTCCTAATCACACAAGTAGCGATATCAGGACAAACAACCAGCCTCGCTGCAGTGATAAGTCTGCCAAACAATGTGAGATACAATATAACATGGAGCATTACAACATGTAGCAAGCATATACACGCACTGCATATGTCTGTCTATCTGAATATTGAGCTCCAACAGTAGACGACTATCTGTACAGGTGCACATCCATTCGTACATATATACCTGAACATTTGCATGTAGCTGTGAATATACACATACATACCACGGTACTCGATGACGCGAGCCTTACCCTGAAGCGATGTCGCAAGCATCCGCTTCTCCGGCTCGACGGAGACAAGACTACACCATAACTGCTCACCTATCTCTTGATGGAAGGCCTCTCTGTTGCCACGGGACTCCGTGAAGCCCAATGACTCGCAGGATCCCTCCTGACCGGCTCATGCTAGTTCAGTGTGCCGGAAATTTAGAACACTTATGCGACTTATGCGGGCAAGATTGCCAGCAATCTTAGTCATCTTGCCCCACTTGCCCCACTTGAAGAGGGGGGTGAAAGATAACCATGCAATCTTGGTCATCTTGGTCTAAATGGTAAACTAGTCGGCGAGTGGGGCAAGTGGGGCGGCAAGCGGGGCAAGATGACCAGGATTGCAAGGTGACCAAGATGACCACTACCGAGCAAGATGACCAAGCAGACAAGATTGCAAGTTGACGAAGATTTGCTTTGCAACTAACTGTTCTAAGTTCCCGACACAGTGCTATAGTCCCAGTACTAACCATAGCTCACAGCACACATGACAATCCAAATGATAACCTGCACCTGTACAGGTAGGAGCATGTACAGTACTTGGTAACTTTCAACTTGACTTTCCGCAAGCTGCCACGTCTTGGGGCATCCTGTTCGCTACAGATCCCTGAAGCCTGAGCCCCGGAAATCAAAAAATCTTTAAACCAAGGTCCCAAGCCCCTCACCCTCTGTTCTCTCAATGCCTAAACGCCACAGAGGTCCTGAAGACCGGCCAACTCCTGGGCCCAATCTGCCTGGGATGCGGCAAGGCGTACCTGAAACGTTCGGAGAACAGAAAGAGCTGGACTGCATTGCCTCATGGTCGAGTGCACGAGCATAGCATCTTACCGTATGTAAAGCAGACCCCCTTGCATGCATCGTATCAATATGTTACGCATTCCCTCCCGCACTTGACTTAGCTGTCTAGCATCAGCAGCAGAAGCAGCAGCAGCAGCAAAGGCAGCTAGGCAGGTTCGAAGTGGATCAATGGCAGTTTGCATGCTCTTCCAGCCAACACTAAATGACCGAATGGGTGGCCGCATGGCCTGTCCGCACTCGATTCCAACAAGCCTGTGCATGTCCACGAAAGGCTGGCCCTGCAAGCCGAGAACACACAAGCTGGAGGATCCGTTAGAGCTCATACCTCGGATATAAACTGCCACACCTCTTCATCTGCAGTAGCTGCAAGGACAGCGGGCACAGCAACCGCTAGTAGCACCTGCCAGTGGGTCCGTCTAGCGGTACTGCCAGAACAGGACCAAGTACGCATGGTCGCTTCCGTGCCTTCATTGCCATCGCAAGTGACTGCAAGAGAACTAGGCTTCTCAAGCACCCCGATGACAAACCTTTTGTCAGCCGTGTCGCTTCGCTTCTGCATGTTTGCGCAAAGTTCTTGGCAACATGGCCTACAATGGCAGGGAGGTACAGCCGCAATGGCACACAAGCAGGAATCCAGCAGGAATTAGATGCGATCCGCAAAACGATGCCATCTCAAATGAATGGGCAAGGTCAGCCAAGCTTTCACGGAAAATCTATCCAGAGGGGCCACTTTGGACCCATGATCCTTCCGTAGCTGTTCCACAGAAAGACCTCCACGAGCTCTTATGCGGGCACAACAGCGACCTCCGCAAGTTGAAGTCAAAAGCCAGGAAGGCGCTAGTCTCTTAGTGTGCGATGAAAAGACTTCCGGGGATGAACTCACGCGGCGGAAGCAAGCTTACCTCGGCTTCTTACCGGAACACAAGGGCAGCAGAGCACTGTCACTACAGAAATGGACATTGGGATAGCTAACGTCTTACCCGCAACTGCCATCCAGTCACAGAAGGAGAGGAAGCCTCCAGTCGACGTCGGAGCTCTCCCTGCAGCTCCCTGAAACGGTCCTGCAGGAGCCACTCGGTGCCCGAACAAGACGTGCCCATGCGGAGCCTTGTCGTCCTTCCGGTGATTGGGCGGCGTCACCTTGCGACTTCCCCAGATCTCTCAAGCTGATCCCTCGCTTCGAAACTTCCCGCTCGCAGACCTGGTATTGCCAAGTGGCACTCTCCAGCTCCTTTGCAAGCCGCTGCGCGCGGCTGTGCAGAAATAACGAAGGCTCCTCTCTCAGCTACCGGTGATCACAGGCCCACTCAAGCTTGCATCGAGCACTCAGTCCAAACAGCCAGTGCCACGAATTGTTCATGCATGTGTCAAGTGTATCATTGAGCTCTTGGCAATAGGCTATGTCTTGCCTTTTAAAGAACTTCACAGAGCTCTGGAAGCGATCACACTCCGAGCTGCGCCTGCGAGAGGCCCAGCGAAGTGAGCCAGTCCCACACCTCACGCAGTGCCGGAGTCTTGGGTGCTCCTTTGCCATGGGCCCTTGAGCCCTTCGGTTCAAGGATCCTCTCTTTTTTGTGACGTGCACTTTCCCATTGCGAAGTCACTGTGCGGGGTCGTTGCTGGCCGCGAGGTGTTGAAACCTCCGTACCTACTAAAACCATCACACCAAACATTTCTTGGCGGCCGTGGGGTCGTGTGGGTCTGCATGTTCAAGGTCGCTTGCGTCTGCGATGCAGTCATGCACATTTTAGGTTTTCCTAGACCCTAAACATCCTTGAACCCTAAAGCTCCAGAGCCCCGAACCCTGACATAAAAAATCTGAGAATCCTAGGGCCTAGGGTATGTCAGCCTCTCGGTATTTCTACTGATGACTACACCACAGACTCCAGAGCCTCCACAGCACGGCACAGCACAACGCAGCGCAGGACAGGGCAGGACAGTAGAGTACAGAAAACATGGTGTAGCATAGTATCCACAGGGTCGGTGGGTGCTATCAACCCACCAAGATGCTACACAAGTCTGAGAACGTGAGCAACAGCCCCTACAAGCACCAGAAGCGAGCATTTAGCACTATCAGCGCCATTGCATGAGCAGGAGCATAAGCTTAGTGTACTACTGTAGCGTAATGTATTGTACTGCAAAGTATTGCATTGCATTGCATCTTTGTGTATTACATTGTATTGTACATAGTCCGGTGCAGGTGGTGTTTGGCTATCCGAATTTTGCCTTTGTGGAAGCTTTGAGGTCCAGTGGCCTCGATGAGCATAGCTGCCGTTCCGGATGCGAAGGCTGCATCCCACTGCATGTAGGTGTACCTGCCCAGGCACTGCACCAGATTGCGTTTGACTCGCAAATGGCCACCACATCTTCAGCTTGTGTTGCAGCTGAACCCCAGCAAACTGAGAATCGAGGAAGCTTATTCGAGGATGCTACTGTATCGACACTACCTGATCAGGGAGAGGTCCAGATCCACGGCGAAAAGAAGACCTCGGCGCAGCCAAGTGCACAACCAGACAGAGAGCTACGAGTTTCAAAAGGCGCCAAGGGCACTCACACACACCTCCAGGGCGAAGCGTGCTTCGTTCTGACAGGTAGCCCCACTGCCAAATCCAGTGTCGGCGGCCGAAGAGGCTTCCCGCATCGTCTGCCAAACCTGGGCTTGCTCAATCACAAAAAGGCCCAAGGTCGGCCGCCCCCGCTGCCACCAGGAGGCGCAAGGCCGTGAGAACGAAGCCTTCGTCCGGAAGGGCCAGGCCTGCCAAACCGAGGAGCCGAGGTCCATGACCCGGCTCCAAGATGTAAGAGCTCGCTCTCTTCAGTCTTTGAAGCATGAAGGTCGAGAGCAAGAGCGCACCCTTAACGCCGGCTTGCGAAGCCCTCGGCTGGTCTGGCAAGGACAGAGCCTTACAGACGGAAACCCGCATCGCATCCCGCACGGCATGATCATCTCTCAGACGGGTTTGCCACGCGGATGGGTGCACTTGGTCTCGTGCAAAGACTCGTTGAGCAACTTCCGACAGCTCTTTTTCCTCAGCTGCATAGACCATGAAGATAACGAGGCACCGAAGCATCGCGGAAATCTACGAGTAGGACCGCACAGCACGCTTTGCCAGCAAGCTCAACTCCGTGTCAGTTCCCTGTGATGCGAGATTCGGCAGCCATCGCTTTGGAGATGCTTCCACATCGGCAGTGCCAGTTTTCACCGCGAAGCCGAGCCCAACCCATGGGGAGACAAGCGGGGCCTTGGACTTCAGCCCCCGTCTCCGCATCGGTATCCTGCAAAAACTCATGGAAGACATCGCAAGACCATGACAGGACATCCGAACGGAACACCGGCAGAAGCGGTGGTGGTGGTGGTGGTGGTGGTGGTGGTGGTGGTGTTGGTGGTGATGCTGGTGGTGGTGGTGGTGGTGGT